TTTCTAAGTTTACATCTCGCGATACTGGGATTTTTTCTCAGAATTCCGAGTTTACATCTCGTGATACTGGCATTAGTTCTCTGATTTCTAAGTTTACATCTTGCGATACTGGCATTCTTTCTCTGATTTCTAAGTTTACATCTCGCGATACTGGCATTTTTTCTCTGATTTCTAAGTTTACATCTCGGGATACTGGGATTTTTTCTTGGAATTCCGAGTTTACATCTCGCGATACTGGCGTTTTTTCTCAGAATTCCGAGTTTACATCTCGTGATACTGGCATTTTTTCTCAGAATTCCGAGTTTACATCTTGCGATACTGGGATTTTTTCTCAGAATTCCGAGTTTACATCTCGCGATACTGGGATTTTTTCTCAGAATTCCGAGTTTACATCTTGCGATACTGGCATATATATATATATATATATTTTTTTTTTTACAATATTTGAATGTGTACTGTAATGAAGACTTTATCAAATTGAGAAAAATCTTAAAAAAAAAAAAAACTCCCAAAAACTCGTTTGTTTTGTGAGCCCAAACGTTTAACCCTAGTCTTCTCACTGAGGCGTTGATTTTCATTTAGAGTCAATAGCGCCCTCTGCAGGTCATATAACAGCACAACCTCCTTTTTCTAAAAGCAAAAAAATAAATAAATAAATCACAATTAAAACCATCCACTCACACAGTCTGTACATATTAGTTTTATTGAGACTTTCCAAGATTAATAGTTTAGACATTAGGTGAGTTTTTGATACACATTTTAAAAAAAAGAGTCTATGTACAAATTTGCATTGTGGGGTATGATTTTTCACCATAAATGTCATTTTTGGATTCAGAACTTCAGTTTAGTAAAATAAACACTATAATAATAAAAAAAGAACAGAATATAGTAGATAATGGAAAAACAAAACAAGAGTTAACACATCAAAACAAAGAGCCATAACTCAATACAAACTCAAATATGAAACTGATTTAACGTAATGCAATGCTTACATGACTTTAAGATTAACCGATGAGGCAGCATTTAAAAACAACAAACAGCTGTACTGCAAAATAAAAGTACATGGCTCAAGAATCATGACTTCGTCTTTTGTGGTCATAAAAACTGATGCTATTGCAACACATATTCACCCCTGAGCAAAATCCAACAAGCTAATACATAAAGCAAAGGACAGAAATAAGAGAAGTGAAAAGCCGCTGGTAATAAAAGTGATGTCAAACTAACTTTCTGCACAGCTTCCAGCCGGTCTACTCAAAACAAGTGAAGAAACCAAATAATGATTGCATATACAAAACGATTTTCACATCACGCAGTAAGGACAGATGTCCTGTTGAACGGAGTTAACGCTCAGATGGGTTTGGTCGTGCTGTTGTAGACGAGTTTCTCTGAATCTCCGTAGGTGTGAACGTGTCCGCCGTTAACGGCCACATGCTGATGTTTGTTTCTGCGCTTCTTCTTTCCCTTCAGGAGGCAACATGCGATAACCACCAGCAGCACGGCGATGGCCAAGCCCAGGACGATGGCGATCGCGACGGCAGCTGAACAGAGACACGACAGTCACCTTACGTTAATGCATCTGTCAGGAGACTCAAACACAGGTGCAACAGCAGACTACAGACTAAAGATCTACTCAACATTTACTTTGAGGATACTAGTGCAACAGAAACACCATACAACAGATCAGGGTTATTATAGTTAACTAAAACTATAAAACATTAGTTACTTCAAATAACATTAATATTATTAATGATATATATATAAAAATAATAATAATAATAATAATAATAATAATAATATTTATAATATATTAAATATAAAAATAATAATATA